AATCTGCTATATTTTGGGCGTGACTTTCACTCTCTTTTGGTACCATCTCCGAGGCTGTTGTATCATCAACGTATTTCCATAGTGGATACGCGATTTCAAGGTCATTTATCATAAGCACAAATAACCATGGGCCCAATTTTGTGCCCTGTGGTACTCCGGAGGGCACAGATCCCCACTCCGAAAAGCACTCCGCAGCCAGCTTAATTCTTTGTAATCTATCAGAAAGAAAATCAACTATCCAATTGGTAATACTAACTGGCAATTTACACTTAGTACGCAATTTTCTAATCAGAATTTCATGGTCGATAAAATCAAAGGCCTTTCGATAATCAAATAAGATTGTTCTTACGGTAGCGCCATTTCCATCAGTGTTAATAGACCAATTATGTAACATGCTAATTAAGGCCATAGTCGTGGAGGAATTTGGTATTGCCCCGTATTGGCTGTCGTCAATGATACTCATAACTGCTGGTTTGACGTAGTCGTCCACAATAAACCCTTCTGCGACCTTAGAAATGCAGGGAGTAAGCGAGATAGGTCTTAGGTCCTTTTTCAGTTCCTTTACTGATTTCTTTTTGGGCAGGGGTGTCACGTCAGCCAACCTCCACATTGTTGGTAAATGCTGCTCGGAGTAGGAGGCATTAAGGATTTCCGTCACTGGGAAAGCCACTGCATCTGAATATTCCTTCAGTAGCCAATTGGGAATTCCATCAGGCCCACACGCTTTTCCAGGGTTAAGGCGAGACAGAACCTTCTGAACACGTTGTTCACTCACGCGCAGGATCTCTGGTATTGTATCCGCTTCCATGGGGAGAAACTCTAGTGGAGTTGGCAGCCTGTACTCCTCCAGCGGTTCTAATAACGCAGCATTGATGGTGTTGGCCTTTTCTTTTCATGACAATTCTGAAAAACCTTCCACGTCAATCTGGCTCAAAAAGTCGCCATTTTTTCTTTTTGAGCCGCTCAGACACTTTACTTCGTCCCACCATTTCTTTGGGGCTTCTTGTCTTAAATTCTGAATTCTCACTTCATAATATTTAGCTCTGCATGCCTTTCTTTCCCGGTTAACCAGATTTCGGATGAACTTGAATTGGCCAGAGTCGGCGCCATATGATTTGAACGCTTTCTGTCTTTTCAGTATCATTGACTTCAGCTTATGGTCAATCCAAGGAGCGTCCGCACTACAGGTGCGAATTTCTTTCTCAGGCATCAGAATATCAAGCCCTGTATCTATAGCAGTGTGGAAAATCTCCCACTTTTCCTGGCAACTATCCGTAGTAGCGAACAATAAAGGCCAATCAGTAGAGGTTAGATATCTCCCCAAGGCAGCCTTGTTACTCTCACGTAAGTCACGCCTTTTAACAACGTGCTTTCTGTTTACATCACGTTTACCATCTTTTGGTGACACAACAACAGCGTTGTGATCCGACAACCCGAATGGAGGGTAGGCTTGTGGCGGAGTATAGTATTCTTGCATGTTAGTGAGCACCAAGTCTAATATGGCATCCTTCCGGGTCTGAACTTTAACTATTTGCTGAAGACGAAAGTGATTCAGCAAGCCCTTAATATCCAACCGGTTGAAATCCCCTGTGACAACCAATCCACAGTTGGGATATCGCGTCTCCGCTAGGGCGAGGGACTGGAACAAATGCTCCCGGATAGATGTTCCATCGGCCTTGGGGGGGTGATAGATCACTGCCGCGATTATGCAGGAAAACACCCGGGGGAGGCGGTTTGGTCTTAGATGGAAGCTAAGTAAAGATCTGCTTGGAAACTCATGGAATAGATCTGGAGAATGCGAAAAAAAAAAAAACAAAAAAAAAACACCCCTCCAAACCAATTGCAGCCAATTTTAAGTTAAAATAACCTGCACTGAGGCTAGCATTTTTAGCCAACATCTCATCCCCCCCTCCCTCGAGGGAGATAATGGAGAGGGGCCGGGTGAAGTTCACGGTTGACGGTTAAAAAAAAAATAAGCCCTTTTAACGGTTGACGGTTAAATTTTAGGTCAATTTGACGGTTGACGGTAAACGCACTAAGTTGGCTCTTATTTTTCATAATGAAACGTTTGTAAAGAAATGTTAATTTATAACACCTTTTATCAATAAATAACTAAAGTTTTACGACACCGGAAGTGTTTCCACACCGGATGTCAGTTCTGTCGCCAACCAGTTTTACTCGCGACTAGAAGTTAAAGGACTTACGTAAATGTATCTTTGTGAGATATCAAAACTTTTATTTATCAACAACAGATCTTGACCCCAATTAAGGCAATCATTTTGTTCTTAATTAAGGATATCTGAGACATTTGACGGCTAACATTGGCTTGCTTATTTGACGGTTGACGGTAAAATTTTTGCGTTTTTCACGGTGGACGTTTAACCCTAACCTAACCCTCTCCTACGTTTCTTGTAAATGTAGTAGATCTAACTGGTAAGGTGATCATAAACCGAACCTAGTGAACAGACGAGGAAATGACGGTGATTATATCGAAAAGGCGAGTATAGTGGCTCATATCGCCATAAGAAGAAAGCTTACGTTTTGGTGGACAATTTTCACTCACGACGATGCTAAATTTAGAAAATACCAGCAGCAGCAGCAGCAGCAGCAGCAGCAGCATCCCTGGGAATAAAAAAGTTGAAAACTGATTCATTATATTTGAAAAATGTTTTCTCAGAAACAGTAATGGATATTACACAAACTAGTCCTAATCGTGATATTGAATACAAATTATTTTCGCAGAGACTATTGATACAGAATGATTTAAATTTGTAAATAAATGTAAGATCCGTCAATGAACAGAAACAGCAACACGACAACGCGCCAATTCCGTTCTGCTTCGTATACTTCTGTCACGTACTCCCTGTAATACTGACATATCCGCGAAATACGCCCGCACTGAAATAACAATTTGGCGTGTTGGATAATAAATAACTTATTAGACGTTTTCTTGTTCCGTATTGCTGAGTATTTTTATTCGTTATTTGTATTTTGACTCGCTCTACGGGCTCGTCAAAATACGGCACAAGTCGCAAAAGTTCTCAGCGATACGACGCAACAAAACGTATGAAAGGATATATGTGTTACCTGTGAAGAATTCTTCAGTATAACTACATCAGGAAAGAATAAATATTCGTAGACATTGTTTTGACGAATAAAGGTCTTCAAATACAACTCCAGCACGATGGGGCCTAAATAAAAGCTGGCCAAAAACTCAGATGAATATCATTCGAAGGTTTTTCTATCACCAGAATCACCGGAGTAAATGTACATACCTCGACTGTGAAGTTTTACATAAGACTACAGATCACTTATTGAAACTAAAGGATTTTCAACCAGTTTTGCATCGTAGGAAAAACTATTTGTAAGTTGAATATTACAAAAGTTCCCACGGTGAATGGAACATGCGCCTCCCACATTTCTCTGCAAATGGAAAAAAAGAAAGTACTAGCCAACTTTCTGGCTTCATGCCAGTTCATTTCTCAACCTTCCACTTCAACGAAACAGGCGCTTATTCCAATATGGAAGTAGACAATTTGTCGACAAATTTAGGAAAGCTAGCTCGAGATCATGAAGCAAACAACACACACCTATTTCTAAAAGACCTCCCCGTAGTCATTTCGTGACACGAAACACGCTTAAGAGGTTTCTTGAACTTTTTTCGCAAAACGTTGAAAGCATTTCAAGAACTCGAACGCGATTGCATAAAAAAGCAGAAAGATCAAGCATAAACTCATGATCATAGAAAGGAACTCATTACGTAAAGAAAAATCCCTTTCTTACCGAGGTTCATTTTTGGCCTTTATTCCCTGAGGGGTTAAGCTTTCTTCTCTGAGTTGGGAACGTCCATTGAAGTCTAGTGATGAGGGATGTTTATACGCTTATCATGGGGTATTACAAAATACAAACACTACCACGTGCACGTGATAATGGTTTTCAGCAAGGTCGTTATGATATTTTGGGATTTTATATTGATTGCTGACTGAAACGAAAGAGCTTCCAGAAACTCAACAGGAATAACTTTCTCGAAATTGTTGGAGGAAAGGTAAAAAAGCATATCGGTAAGTTGTGAAATTTCGAAAGTAGCTAGTGCTTATATGGTTTTTCTGTTAACTTTGTCCTCCGATTAATTTTGGTGTTACCTTTTACATATTCTCAATTTCAGAAATGATTGAAATTGGGAACGGCAAAGAAAAAAGTAAAAAAAAAATTTATTAAGCCCAGAGGAAATTGCATGACAAAAGTATATACTTTTGTGGTAGCAGACACAATTGTCTGCTCTCAGTTGTCATAATCTTGATGACCACCACCTAAAAAAAAGTATATTGTATGTTTTGAATGAAGATCACAACATAACCGCATTAAAAGCATTTAGCTTGTTGTTTTGTGTTATCAAGATATAAACACTCCACTAGTAATAAAAATGAAGGGAAATTGTTCAAGTTCCCACAAATGTCTTTTCTTATCTTAATGCAACTATGTGTCTAAAAATTCGCGTTCCATTTCGCCAGATGTATTGATTTTCGCGTTTATTTGTTTCTAGCTTCATCATTATCTTTGCTATCATTGCATGTGCCATCATCAAAGTATTATACTAGTATCATTTCTGGAACACAACAGCTTACTTGAGTTCCGCTAATACTAGTTATGCTGCCAGAATGTTTCTAATATCAGAACTTGCATCTCAATATTTTAAGTAGCAACCGACTATTTTCCCCTATCGTTCAACTAGGTTGGACGTGTTGCGGTCACAGTGCGTCCTCTCCAGCCGCACTGATTCCCTTTCATGTATTTTCTAATGTTCTCCTCTCTCTCTCTCTCCCCTTCTCTCTCTCTCTCTCTCTCTCTCTCTCTCTCTCTCTCTCTCTCTCTCTCTCATTTTTCCTCTCTTTCTTTATTTTTTTTTATTGAAAAATTATTGGCACATAAATTTGTGAAAACACACATTACGTTTTACTTTTCAGCTCCCTCGCTTTCTTACGACGGCTCGATTATAAAATGCAAAAAATTATATTTCCCGTGCACTCTCACCTTCTATTTCAGATCTACAAATATTTGAGATAATCAAGTGCGCAGATATTTAATTTCAGAAGACGAGGATCACGCCTCGTTGCATAATTTCTTTCCCTTTTTTCTCTACGCAAACTGATTTCTTTAGCTAAATTTCAGAATCAACTTGTTCTGACCTTGTTCGAAATGTATTTTAATCAGCTTCTCGACTTTTTCAGGTGGCCATTATTGTGATGAATAGATGAGTTCTGTGGAAGGTTAGATAAATGTCTCTTATGAGCGGAAAGTAAATATGTGAGAGCTGAAATTTACATTCTTCATTTCATCTTAATAGGACCTTCCAAACTCAAGAGGGAATGACTTATGTCTGACTTGGCTTAAAAAGGCGATGGGAGGATAAGATGTCACTCAGACGTTATTTATTCTTCTGCAAGTGAGCCATATAGCACATAAAATTTTCAAACTTCACTTGTTTAAATATTATAGACCTAACCTCAGGCAACTGTAGTACATTCGGTGGCCAGTTGACTCGCTACAAAAACTAGTTACGCGTCAGAAATGCTAGCTACTGAATTGCCAAACTGGCAATATTTAGACAGAATTATTAAGCACAGAGGAATTTGCATAACAAATGTTATATACTTTTGTAGCAGCCGACACAATTGTCTGCTCTCAGTGGTCAGGATCTTGATGATCACCACTTTAAAAAGTATATTGTATATTTTAAATAAAGATCAGAACAGATCCAGTGGTCAGAGTGGGACTCGAACCCGGGAGCGGCGGATTACGAGTCCGACACTCTAACCACTCGGCTACACTGCCTCCCCGATTTAAGGCGACTTAAGGCGACTTAAATGAAATTGGCAGAAAAAAAATTGCGACTTTAGGCGATTTAAGGCAACTTAATGCGACTTAAAGGGATTTTATTTGACTAAAGTGATAAAATCAAAGTTAGCAACAGTCTCTCTATAAACCTTAAAAATATTTACAAAATCCCTTGCAATAAACACTATAGTCAATTTGGTTACTTCTGTATGCTCATAAGTCACCATAGTCTAAAATATCCAGATTTCAAACCAATTTAGCTAAAAATAATTGGACAGAATTACCACAACAGCTATTGTTAAATTATACAGTCAAAACTAGTGAATAAATAGCCGGGAAACCAATTTAGCTGAAAATGTTTAGACAGAATTACCACAGCAGTTATTGTTAAATTATACAGTCAAAGCTAGTGAATAAATAGCCAGGAAAACATCATGGGTTATATGCCCAACATCAAACAAACCTATCAAAAATGTACACATAAAGACACATATTTTTGATTTAAGAAAAGAGACATGATTTACATAAAACTATCAATAAATCTTCCACATAATTAAAAATAGCTTGATTACAAATTATAAAAATTGTTATCTTGGTAAACTTGTCTCCCATATTTTTGCCACTTGCACTGTCAATATTTTGGCATGAAAGTTTAGCAAGTCGCATGCCTTTCCAACAGCATACAAAATTGCTCGGTCCTTCTCAGGGACCCAACCAATTTGTTGTTTTCCTGCCTCAGTTAGACAAAACACTCCAATTCCATACTGAGAACCATATGCTAAGGTCTTTCTCCACTGTTGATCGGATCAGCAGGACCTTCCGAGCATTCAAGTTTTATTTTTAGCCTGGTGGCAGTATTACAGGTTTAAAAGCATTCATTGTTATCTCACAACTGTCCAGAAACTAACGAGTCACGACGAAATTCTCCAAGCTAATATAAACTGACTCTAAATTCTCCGCCCTTTTAATTCTCCCAGCAACCTTTGCGCCGCTAAATAGTTTCCATGCTTCGAAGTTAGGAGCGGGACAACACTATAGGGTTTCTCTCGCCAAGTACGCCCATTTCATTGAAGCGATCGCCCAGTTAAACTTTCAGAGTGAATTGTTTTAAACCTTTTTGATGATCTTTTTTTGATGATGTTCTCACGAGCACTTCGGTGACGGAACAAAACTTAAGTCACGTAATCAAATATCTCTGGCGGCCATGTTTGCCATAAGAGGCTTTTCTTGGCTTAGAAGTGGTTCATGTATGTTTATCATCAAACTGACGAAGATGAAATGTACAAAAAGACTATCAAAGTCTCAAAATAGAGAAATATATGCACCTTTAGTAGGTTTGTCGAGCTAAAAAGTTTAAATGTTTTCAGTTGGTCGAATACCATGTTGGAAGTAGCTAGTACAGATTAATGGGTTAGTTCATGCTGGAGAAATGGCCCACTTTCGTCATTCTTTTACTTTGGGTAAGTTAAGTGGATAAAATTTAGCTTCAGTTAAGTTTAGTTGACTTCTGATAATGTTATTTATACTGCTCAAGGTATAACTGAGTGGCAAGAATTAAGCCTTTCTCCAGAATACCTCTCCATCGTTTTATCTTGATGATCTTGTACTGTAGGTTTTATGTGATTCAATATTTATAATATCCTGATGATAATACACAGTGTCAACCCCTTTATCAGCTTTTTCATCATGAAATACAAGACAAAAATTTTGTTGAAACAGATAGCTGTTTTAGTAAGAAAATGGAAGAGTATACATTGTCAGATTCCTACATCAACTGTTGTCTACATGTAGGAATTACCCATGCCAGCAGAGGGGCTAGACAGGTGCATGACTATTTTCACATGGAGTTTCTATGCATATGGAAGCCGCTACCCACAAAAAAAATTAAACTCATAGTCCATTGCAGGGTTACCTCCCCCCTGCCAACCAGTACCCATATTTAGACCTGGAAAGGGTGAGGCACTTTGAGCTTACAGTATCTTGCCCGAAAACAAAATGCAATGCTCCAACACTAGACACCAAAACTGGACTAATGTCGAGTCCAGTGCATTGACCATTCAGCCACCATGCCTCTTCCTCTGATCCTTATGATTAAAGTGGGGTGAATGGGGTCAATTGGGATTAGGGTGGAACCCTCATAACATTGCGAAACAATAGTGATTTAAGGCAACTTAAGGCGACTTTAGGCGACTTTAAGCGATTTAAGGCAACTTAAGGCAACTCAAGGCAACTTAAAGTCCCAGAGTAGGCCTTGAAAACTTAATAAGTAGGTTTGTTTCTAGGCTCACAACATTAATGTCATTAACCACGATGGAGAACAACACTGGACCTAATACGGCCCCCTGTGGAACACCCCTGTCGATTTCAACGAACTCTGTTGTGACACCATCGACTACAACACTCTGTTAACGGTCACTCAAATAATTGATTATCCGGTCAAATAACATAAGGGTTGATATTATATGACTTGAGCTTATTACATGCAATCTGATGGGAAACAAAATCGAAAGCTTTACTAAAGTTGAAAGAATACACCTTAACAAATTCTGCATCTTTATCTAACCATTTAATTTTAACCAATGATAGTGACATTTAAGAAAGACCATTGTGGTATCATGTTCCTTCTTATAGGCCAACTGGTTAAGCCCAACAAATGACTGCAGGGTAGTAGATATTTCATGTTTGTAAATGAGCCTTTCAACAATTCTCATGATTATGCCTGTAAGTGATATGGGTCTCAATTGACTACATTCGCTTGATGGGAATACCTTAGAAATAGGTGTAACATTTAGCTAATTTCCATAGACGTGGAACCTTTTGCTGTTTCATTGAGTTATTGAAGATCTTCGTTATTATAGGAGCTAGATAATCAGCATAGTCACGCCAGGCCAGTAAGGAATCTCATCAGGCCCAGAACCTATACATGTCTGGTGCCTCAAGAGATTCCAAACTGTAGAAACTGACCTTTAAAACATAAGAGAAAAAGGACTTGTGATAGCCGGTTTTCATGTTGTTATTACCATTTATTCATTCCAAAATTTTACACACGTTTTCCTGTTACTCCTTATGTAAAAGATAGAGAAATATTTTTCCCTCTTATATTCTCATATAAAACCAGTTTCTCCTGACCTGGTACCAAACATTTTTATTGTAAGATCTTCTCTTAACGACATTAAATAACGACTACCCCTTATAACATACATTTCTTATGTTGTGAGATGCCTCTTTGGAAGAGGGTCTGGAACGAGTTGAATAAAAGTCAGTCGTCAGCATTTAACTAAGGAGAACAAGGGTGGGCTAAAATCTTTCTTCCCAACAGCACAGTGATTCGGCGCTTTTAAGGTTTAAGAATTAAAATACAAATTCCTTTTGCTTTGTCGGAATTTTTCAAGGACTTGGTACAGGGAAACTTTGATGCTATATTTCAAATTCAACCATTGCGACACAGTTGTGTCTGCAAAGAACATTACAGATGAAAAGGGCAAAATAAAACTTAAAAACAGACCGCCATCTCTAAGCTACCCTTTTAGCAGTGTTGATATAGCAACGGACTACGCGCAAAAACAGAAATGTCTTACCCCCGTCTTCCCTTGATTCAATCGTGTAAATGCTAAAAATTTCCGTGCAGGTTAAGTAAGTAAAAGCGATTGGTCGTAGCAAGGTACATTTCAGGTGATCAATGTCAGGTGGTCAATGTCAGTCAATCCAGACCTTGTTAAACAGAGACGTTCCATATCAGTCTTTCTTGTTTTTGACAAACCAAACCGTGCGGTCGTTCAGAGGCTGTAATGGTCTGTAGTTGTCACACATTTTGGGAGGATTTCTTGGGTATTCACCTTTCAGCTTCCTGAACTTTTTGAGCTATGAATTAATAGCAACCTCTCAATCACGGTTTACAAAAAGGTAAAAATGTCTCCTTTTTTTCGTTTTTTATCCCGTGGGTAAACCAGTTCCTCAAAATATGGAAATAATGCCAGTTGCTTAATGCATCGGCGATATAAAAGGTAAAGTTAAAAGGCCACTTGAAATTCCTTTTAAAAACCCTTTCTATGCGAAATACCGACTCAAAACCTAGCTGATGTGCCTATTGTAAACTAATTATTAGTTTATCAAAAAACATCATTTTTAGAATAACTCCGCTAGGGAGGTCACCTTAATTATGGGCAAATTTTAAGTGTCTCTGAATCACTTTGTTCTTATTTCTCTGTGTGCGCGTATTGTGGCGCTCATATTAGAACTCACTCAGGGCAAATTAAAATGTTTATGCAGGCCAAACCAAGCTTTAAGATACCACAATGTGCGTTTATTTCATAATTACCTGATAGTTTGATATAGGAACTTTGGGCTTCAAGACATACCACATCACAGTTTCACAGCAGCGAGGAGTAGTAAGGGAACCTTTGTAGTGGTAATAGTCTGCCAGTATTAGGACCTTTTCATCTTTAGGGTACTTATGCAAACCGTTCCCGTTGTCGTTTCCATTTCCATCTCCGTTTCCGTTTCCGTTTCCGTTTCCATTGCCATTGCCATTGCCATTGCCGTTGCCATTGCCGTTGCCGTTGCCGTTGCCGTTACCGTTACCGTTGCCGTTACCGTTACCTTTGCCGTTGCCGTTTCCGTTTCCGTTGCCGTTACCGTTACCGTTACCGTTACCGTTGCCGTTACCGTTACCGTTACCGTTTCCGTCTCCGTTGCCGTTGCCGTTGCCGTTTCCGTTACCGTTACCATTACCGTTACCGTTCCCGTTGTCTCCATGATGATAATTTTTATTAGGTATAAGCTCCATAAGACGAATTTTGTCCGACTCATCCACTGCTGTCTCTTTACCTGAAAAAAAAAAAAAAATTCACGCACTTTCAATTTCCCTGTCTTCGGGGGCTATTAGGATTCGCTCACAAGTAGGGAAAGACGTTCTCCCTCTTAGGTGTTCTACGGAATGCCTAAAGTAAAACAGGATGACATGTCAGGAAAGAAAAATGTAGCTGATAGCTATGGATTCCAAGATTCGAGGTGCAAAAAGGTTCGTAAAAGGGATTGAAATTGACGTATTCAATTGCAAAAGGCTCATGTCGAGTGAAAGTCTTGGCAATGGTCGTGTAGGAGGAGGTTACTTCTGAAAACTGAGGAGAATAGCTGTCGATAACTGAGATCACAGCAAGCTGTGAGAAGTCATGGCCATAATGAGATGTAAGTAAGAAGCTGTTGGTCAGGAAAATGTTTTTAGTGTAATGTTAACTAGATAAAGGTGAAATTCATGGTTAGTTGATCGACAGCATTTAAATTTACGAAAATCGTGCGTTTCAGAACGTCTATGTAGCTATGATGTGAAATTAACAGCGCTGTTCTTCGGAATTTAAAGAATATATAGAATTGTTACCTACCAACTTCAATTATTTTTGGTAACAATTTGGCAAACCTTCCCAATATCTTGTTACCTTTAAGAGAGGCCTAAAGAGAACGGCAAGAGCATTAAGGTCAGCTGGTACTTCTACGAGTGAATCCTAGATGTTTACACTCACATCTCTCACCCAGCTTACAGTGCTTCTTTAAGAGAAAATTCTAATAGCAAAACCTAGTCAATTGATCCTCGATAGGTATAAATTTTATGTACACCATACCCTTACACAATATACCACAATTACCTCGAGATTTGAACAATACATTTAACAGATATATCTAGTCTCTGGATCATCTAAGTCTTATATATGCAAATTTTCATTTTTTCTTAGCTTTTATATGTATAGTCCTTGGCTTTTGAGCCTATCAAATACATATCATGAACCTCGGGCTTGGACTATAGGGAAAGCACTCCCCGTGTATTTGACGTTAGATAAATCATCTTATCTCATCTCAAGATTTTCAGGAAAAAGAATTTAATTTAGAGTGCTGATACAGTTCAATTATCCCTGCGAGCAGAGATCGCTTCGATCTTCCTAGAAAAGTCTTTACTTCTTGCCGACTTTTCTAGAGTCCTGCTTTTGTTCCTCCCATACAGCGGCTGGCAATTAATCGAAGTGTGCAAGCAATGCTATATTGATAGAATATACCTTGAGCCACAGCGCAACAACGGACACCTCACCAGTAGCATCCTTAAACACCATATGGAGCTAGAAGAACAAGAAGAAAGAGGGAAACAAGAAAAAAGCTTGTTAGTAACAGCCTAATAACGTATTACGTCGTAACTCACGTTGAACTTAATGGTTTCAGCTTGATGTTTGCAAAAATAAGTGCCTTAAACTTCGTTCTTTCAATATATCCCAATCTGTGTCATCCATTACATAATGTGGCCTTTTTTGCCAAGTTACAATTACCTCGTAGATTGGTTAGACTTAAGCCTAGGGTATATGTCACTTAACCAGTTGTTGATAGGGTAATTAAGACATTCTCATATAGGAAAATAAGAAGAAAAGTGCCAAGAGATACCGAGAAAAGTTCAAGACAAGTTTGTGTTTTGACTAAGAAATCAATACATCCATGTTAGAGTTTCATTACCTGACCAGAATAGCGTTTGCCACTTTCGGTGTGCTCAGATCCTCGATTGTTTTTACAGCCAAAGTGAACATGAAACTGTTTCAGAGTGTAAGTACCATCCAAGCCACCCCCTTCAAGTTTTACAGTTCCTCTGTCCTCGTCAATTTCCAATGTCGGAGCATGACCATTGTTCTTCAGTGTTCCAGTAACCAGGCCTCTTGGATTGTCAAATGTCATTTTCAGAGTTGGGAAATCTCTGTGTTTGGTCTCGCTCTTGTCAATGTTAATTGGGGACTGGTGACTATGTCCGCATTCCTCCCATTTCTTGTGCCAATCCGAAGGACCAGGCACTACGGAGAAGTAAAGCTATGCACTTAGTTTCATGTTCTTCAAAGGAATCAACAGGATTATCATTAGATAGGAGGCTCAAGCAATAACATAATATTATTACTAAAAAAGAGTCACGTCCCTGGATATGCCTCATTAGTGAGTCTACAAACAAACGAGATTATGGTCCCTTACCTGCATCTACCAGGTCAATTTTTATACCAAAGAGAAAAATATTGCAAAATAGCTTTCTATTATAGTTTAAAAGAAGAGTTATATTATTCATGCATTAAAGCTGTTGACATGACTCCTCACTTCAAAACATCCATGGGGAAATTGGGGTAGATATATCCGAGACACAGAGGACCGTAGACAGAAAACACATCTCTGAAAACACGATTACACAAAAAAAGAAGTACCGTCTCCTTTAGTCTCTCCGTAGCTAAAGTGTTCATCCTCTGCCACTGCAAAAAAGAGACAAGAATGAAATACTGACTGTAAACACTAGATTAAGAACGCACGTTTTTCCAATTCATAATGGCAATTGAATTGAGTGGAGTGCAATTTGTTCTGAAATCATATGAGTGATTTCAAAATCAAGCGAGTGCGCGGCAGCAGTTTGATTTGAAATACAATTTGATCACAAGTTGATCCAGTTTGTTCATCCAGAAGTGAGCTGGTTCGTAGAAAGTTGCAAAAGTTGTTTTTAATTTTTCTGCATTTTGATTGGTTTACTTAAATAACCCCTTGTTGTATTTCAGAAAAGCTTCCTTTTTCGCTGGGAAAAAGATTCGATCTCGAGCAAAAATGGAGCGATTTGTGAACAAATCGCACCTTTTTTGAGAGCCAATCAGATGACATGGATCACCAGTGATTTTAAAATGGATGTGATAAGTTGTTTAATGATTTGACGAAAATGATAAGGCTATGAAGTAAAGTTAACATATCAACATAGCGACTATCTACCGACAAGATTGCGGAAGACTTAAAAAAAAAAGTTCAAAACATTATATTTGCATGTCTGCAGAAACAAACCACGTACATGGGTGGTAAATAATTGGAAAACAGCTTAAAAATATGAAGTAATAGCAATATGTGAAAATTCTTGAAGAAGTAGAGCATTTTCGAAGAGAAGAGAAAAACATATGCTTGTAAAAATAGAAATCCCTCTCAAAAATAAGACGCATTGGTATGAATAGGACGCCTAATGTACACACAAACCAGTTTTCCTTTGCCAGTCCCAACTGTTGCTTTGAACTGAGCTTTTAGAGCTAATGTTTACAATTTGTTGTAAGTCAGGTTTAGAGCTTACTTACATGGTGGGCAATCTTGACTTGATACCGCACTAAATGTGGACAGTAGTAGTAGTAGTAGCATCTCTGCAGTATAGCAAGCTTGAAAATATATGATAAGAACATTTCAATGTAGGAATTGCTTCCTTGACGAAGATACGAGTTTAAACTTGCATAAGTAAGGACATTTTCTGTTAATTCTCGAAAGTAATAAGGCATTGCATTGGCTTTGCTTTCCTCCCAATGAGTCAGTTGCGAAGACCGTTCATTATAAAGGCACAAGACTAAAGCACTCCTTATAGAACAGTTTCCGTTTTTTTTTCTTTAAGTTCCGTTAAGTCCATATGACATCTATTTGCAGCCAAGCAGCTTACTGTGAATTTAATTTTGCAGTGTTCAATAAAAATGCGCCTTGAATAAATTCTAAATTTTTCTTCAACTAATTTCATTTTTAGTGATTGTGCTATTGTTAATGTGAATCCCTCATATCCTCCCAGACAGAAACAGATCACGAAGAGAAAAATATACCTTTGACAGTGGGAACTTGATTCCTTTCTTTGCAGTTGTAATTAAAAAACTCAATTTGAGCCAGTTTCACTTCTTAAATAAAAATGGGAAGACCAGCACCTCATCTGATTTGTTTTGCGTAGTTTTTAAGAAATCCGGAAAACGAGATTTGGATCAACTGTTCCATTAAGATTATCTACTTAAATACTTTCAGTTCTATGATATTCCTCTAGCAAACAAAGCTTAAAGACTTGACTAGAGGTTTAGTTCCACCCATGCAGTAAAGAACCCTCTTTGAGAGCAGAGAAAATGGGCAACGAAAACCTATGATCAGTGACACCTTTTAAGCTATGATAGTCATGAACCATAGTATAAGATTGCGGCAGCGCTAACAGTAAAATCCTCCCAGTTTTCATAGTTAATTCCGGAATTCAAAATTTTCTAGAGAATGCTCTGCATCACAAAGCTTTGTCCGTTCTTGCAATTTCGAGAAGTTCTTGCCAAATCTTTCGATAGTGAAAAACTACCTAACCTAGTTGCACCACAAAAGTGAGATGTTCTATTTAACTGACAACGATTGCAAAAATCAAACTTTGAAATGAAGAATATACATCACCTACCGCTTGTACCTATGGCCTTTGCTTCTTGTACTTTGCTTCGTGAAGTCCAGGTATCAGGAGATGTTTATATACTTATCCAATTGATATCGGAATACGTAAATAGCATTAAATAATACTACTATTGGTTACTATCAGTCGAATATTAGTTCAAGTAATATATTCCTGAGTTGTCGCGTTTCGTAAAAGAACTAAGCTAGATTACCAGCCATTGTTTAGGAACCGGAGCCACGAGAAAGACTAGACCCGAGAGAGCGGCGGAAATCGAGCCTATGAAAGAACTTGCAAAAAAAGAAAAAAGATGGGAGGAACGAAACAAAAGTTATCCCAGAGATATTGATGAGATCAAATGTTTTTCCCTGTTTCTGAGAGACGAAAACTTCAATTCTCACAACCATTGCACTTAACATATCTTTCAGACAGGATGGCATGTTGTTATGGTTACAAGATAAATAAACTTAGCACAAGTATTCGAGCAGGATCCCTTATATTTTACCAGCATTACACTGAACCATGAATTTAACTTCGTTGTTACAGAAAAAAAAAACTATCGCGAGAAATTCTTCTTCTCATATCGGAATTTGAAAAAGCATTTCTATAGAATTTAATGAGGTAAATACCTAAATTGATGCCCTTGAGTTATGGTTTCCTTTGGTTATTTTACCACTTCTTATATAAAAAACACAAATAAATCACATCTTCTCTTATAAATGCGATTTTATTTGCCGTGAAAAGCATTTTCGCTCGTTCGCTTGCTCACAAGTTAAATAAAAGATAAACTGAAGAGAAAAAAATTGATTTTTGCGGGTGCGTTGAGGATCCACTCGGCTTTGACTCAATATGATTTTGTCTTACCTTGCTACCTATTTATTCTATTCATATATTAAATTAATAATAATAAAAAAGGAAATAAAAAAAAAAACATTCTTGTTTTTCGCAGCAATTTTTGTGACATCAACCAATATGATGATCGAATATAACCAGAGAATATGAATGGAAGCGGTAAAGCCTACATTGAATATTCCTTTTTTGTATGAAAACCGGAAAATAACAACCACACGTTCAATGTAACCAGCTCTAGGGTCTTTGATCCTTTCGGCATCTAGAGGTGTACCGCCGCAACGCACGAATTTAGAGTTTCATAACCATGTGCTTGTACTGGTTCATAATATCTTTCAGGAACTAGACGAAGGCTCTTTTTATTCGCCTGCAATAAAGATATTACCATTTAATCAGTATCGTTAAGCCATTTTGCACCTGCCTATATACTACAGCTTTCTTGCTCGTCATATATCTATTACTATCGATATTGTTGTCATTGTTTCACAAGAATATATCAAACTGTGATGGTAAATACTGACAATCAGTCGATAGACTGTGGCACCTCCTAATATATTTACCTTGCATGCAATATTTTGATTATTACAGAAATAACTAAGCCTAATTTCTTTTTACTTTTCTGCCTTATTTCTTTGGCAAAATTTGATCCATTTTTTAGCAACGATCCTGTGTGTGTAGCCAGTTTCCCATAGTTTTTATTGGGGTAAAAAGTAGCCCAGGCTTTGGCAATATTGTAAAGGTTAGATGTATTAATCCAAGAGCTTTGTGAAATAATTTACTTGAATGGGTCAGATTAGGAAATAAAAAATTGCATCTGTGCAACGCGCGAAAATTTACCAATCAAGTTGATAGATAAGATAGATGACTTTAAAAGTATCTAAAAGATAAAATGGTCTAAGACGCAGTGTTACGGCAGATGTTTCATTTGATTGAGACCACGACGCTGAATGGTAGTTCTCTTGGTTTTACAGTACGTGACAGAGTAAATATGGTAGAGAGACCCATAGTTAGAGTTTACACGTTTATCACCTTCTTTTATTGAACAAAAATTTAAGATAACCAACTCGGTAGAAACATGTACCAAAATTTTGTTTGTCATGACTAAAACTGATTTGCTTCGCAGTAAAGTATAAGCACTGGGTATCACATGGAGCTTTTTGCACTAATCACGTAACTTGTCATTAAACTTTAGAAGTTGAATAGCCAATGATCCATTCAGGCTTAGGTGGGATTCGAACCTGTGCCAGTCGCAAGAACTAATTGCTAGGAGTTTATTTTTCCCGTGGAGTAATCTGGAAATTATGTGGCAAAGCTCACATTTGCGTTATGTTCTAAATGATGGTAGACTCAGTGCTGTGTAAAATCAAAATTGTATACGTTTTATTGGTATTTTGTACTTTCCTCGATCTGCAAAAGGCTAATTCCCAGAAGAGGAATCCCACAATGCTGAATCCCAAAATAAGATATAATCTCTCAAATAAAAATCTCTTCGTGAAGAGTCAACACGCATGCATTCTTCTTTTTTGAATTCACCCGAAACACACGACAAGGACAAAATTTTGAAATGTTCACTTTCCTAAGCGAAGTGGTTTGCTACGGGAGCAGAAAATCACAAAAATCAGGTCCTATCAGAAAATTCAGGTATCTCTTACCGCAAACTTTGTTTTCTGAACAACACAAAATAATACATTTGCAAAACAAAGCCTGGAAAACGTTCATGCCACACAATGGTACATCACTTTTTATGACACCCTTTGGGCACAACGAAAGTCGACTGAGCGCAGAAAGCAGTATGTATCACATTTAAACCTTTATTTGAAGTTCTTCAGCATAGCAGAAGGACATCTAACAAGGTATAGTCATGCGGTAGGTAACGAGGAAACTCAAACTTTTCAAGCTTGAAAATGACATAATATAAGTGTCTTTCTTTGTTCGATGCCATAACATAAAAATTCATGGACCTACTTTAGAAACGATTCACATCCAGAAGATTTTATATTTGAAAAATATGTTTATATTTGGATGGATCTAAGCAGCGATGGTGTGGGTCTTAACGCGCAAATCTTTGAAATAGAGATCATTGCATTTGAATGTTGGTCAGATGCCGAGTACAGACAACTTTCTGATATATATACTTCATTAGCAGTCCTTCCATCCTCGTATATTGCATTGACCAGACATCTTCCGCATTTCGAGAAAGCACTGGCCTATTCTTACCATGTAGGCTGAAATTTAGTTTGTAGATATTGATAAAAGTTCGAGGTCAAAAATAGATCCCAATCATTTCAAAGACCGCCTATCTCGTAGACGAGACTACAAACAACGTATTTTTTCGATGGTCGAATATCTCCTGGTATTTGACTCGTGGCCAATTAATACAAGCTTGAAGTCAGGTTAGTCATTATCTTGTAAATATTGATTCAAAATACACGCATCTCCAGATGATTCTGTATTGCTCTTGTGGACTAGCTCTGCCAGTCACGAATATTTGTCTCTTTAAAATTGTCACCAGGCCAACTTTGGATGGATAAGCAAAACAACACTATATCAGGAGCAAATTAAAGAAGAAGCTACCGAAATGGTTTTCATTTGCGTCACACTCGTTTGGGCTCAGCTCTTGAGATAGAAACTTAGCAGACCGCCTAACAGGTATCAGCGCAGAACTTCAACAAGTGCAAAGGATCTCATAACTGAAACCGCAAGGCAAGTAATAGCGTGAGAATTATTGGAAAACATCTAATAAGTACATTTTGTATCTTAGAAGTTGTTGCGATCATTTTCAGCGAAGGAGGGAAACCACCCTTCGAAAGTTTCTATCAAAAGCTTTAACTCGGAGTAGAGCCTCTTCTCTTGGTAGTAAGAGTGCAGCACGTTACTCTTTGCGGTGATAAGAATCCCAAACTCAAGGTCCACCCGTTTCTTTTCTAACCTTACGACAAAAATCTTGAAAAGAACATCTCATAAGTTGACGATAGACACGCCCCTGATTCTCTTCTAAAACTCTCCATCTAAGTTCGCCCCGACTAATTTTAGCGTACCAGAGCCTATCTTAGCTTGTATGGAAAAGGTTTATTGCGAAACCTGTATTCAGCGAATCTTTTATCAACCGCACACCCTGAATGATGCCGAAAAAACGTTTAAGTCATTAAGTTTTTTTTTGTATTAACTGTGGTATGCTGAAAGTTTAACGAGAAATCAGAGTTTCAAATTTGCTCGATTGCAATTTATTTTCCAAATATTTTTGTGTGTTATTCTATCATCCCGAAACAGTAAGATTCAAATGATTGCTGTTCATCCATTCTGGCCAATGATATTTAGTCAATTAAACACTTTCAGCCTATTCATTAGGCATGTTGCAATTGTACATTGCCAGAAATTTGGGATAATATGGCGGAGGTGGTTCTCGTGTTACAAGCAAAATGGCGCCGAAACAGTATAAGAAAATGTATGGGAAAGGGCTGTTTTTTCAAAATAGCTGTCTAAGAATAGGATATTCTTGCACTGCGTAGTTGAAAATGCAGCCTGCATTGGTTAAAGCAAACATCCATCGCTACGAAAAAGAAATACTCAAATTTAAGCCTACCTTTTCCCAAGGCATAAGAGTAAAACTCATAATTCTGACTCCATTTTCCCGTACAAACTCTTAAAATCTGCTTCGACAAGGTGTTATAACTCTTTTGCCGGTCGTGGGAACAACCTTGTGAAGATTCGTAACTGCGTAGTTTGATTTGCATTCTACAGAGGTTTGCTCAGCTAAATTGCTCGTAAACGGTCGAATATGTTGGCTCACAAGTTTTCCTTGAGCCGGGAGACTCTTCGTATTTTCACGGAGCTCAAATGCCCAAATACGCCATTTTTAAATACCCCAATTTTAGGAAGGAAGAATACGAAAGATACAAGTCCCTGTAACTGCACAATTTGACAGCCATTTTCCTTGTTTTGACGTCTCCTTTAGCTTGCTGGGATAGTAAGGTACCAGGCCTTTCTCTGGCGGGATTTTACGAAACTAGAAAGTTACGTATTCACTTTACTTCCACCGCCGCCAGACTGAATGATCTGTAATACAATATACCGCTGACATTTCGTAACGGGCTCGAAATGTCCCCGATTTCTATTGATGATGATAAGATATTTTAATTAAGCCACTTTCCTTGTTAAATCAAAATAACAACGCCACAACTTTAAAATTTGTTTGTAAACTTACCTCTCCCTTTCTATTACACCCACTACCCAATAATTTCCTACTTAATTGCG